TAGGATCAATCACAAAGTTAACACTAGTCTCCATGGATAGAAGTTGGATGTCATTGTCGACAATGCAACAGAGAGCGGTGATGACCTCGACGACAGTTTGAAGGCAAGAGAGGAAAGGGGAAATGATGATGTGATGGACAAGGAAGCCAATGGCTTGCATTCTTTTTCCCATCGTCCAAGCCAGAATCTTGCTATAATCTGTCAATGGCGGATGTCATAGATGCTCTGCATGGGCCAACCATAGAGGTTCCACCACGTCGATTCGGTCGTCGTGCCTCACTACCACTACATTCTACGTCCATCCTTGCCTCTCCCTGCACGCGTTGGCTACTTCTCCCACAATTTGAGCAACGGGCATGAAGATTCTCACATAAGTGGGAAGTTCCACTGGGCACTAGTGAACTCAAAATCTCTCTCACATTCTTCTTCGCTTTTCTGCTATTGTGGTGCATGCTCTTCGTCTTATTTTCTGGGATCTACTGTCGGAGAAGGGGGCACCAGGGTAAGAGGCTGATGGAGAAAGCTGGCCCGCAGGGAAGATAGATCTTTCTGCGTTTGCACCAAATCGCAGGATGCCGCGACGGTACCGCTTCCCTAAAAGGGATAAAGTAGCGGCATGCTGTCATGCCGCAGGTCCCCCACCACCCCAAACGAAGCCTAAATACCTAGCAATGATGACAAATCTTGGCAGAATTTATGTAATCAAGGGTCATCGAGGGCTAGTAATATTCGAGCATCTTAATCTTGATCTTCATCTTAAGGCGCAATTGATGGGACCAACACAAACCTTCATGGACATCAATCATCTAGATCTCGTCTCTCCCAACATGTTGCAACCACATATGGTTTAATGAGCATTGGAAGAGAGTACCATTCATAATGGTAAATGATAGTGATCTCCTTTGGATCTAAGAAGCTAAGGAGTGGTTGTTGGGAAGTATCCAATTTATCGAGTAAGTAATGATGGATTGGTAATCTACCTAAAAATAACCTATTTTTAATGTACATTTCATTTTCATTTTATGCCTATTTTTGATGACATTGCACTTTAAAGAAATATTTTTTGCTTTTCTGTACATTTCATTTTCATTTTATGCCTATTTTTTATGACATTGCACTTTAAAGAAATATTTTTTGCTTTTTCTTATTTCGGGTATTCTTATTTCGGGTAAATGGAATGGACATTTGGAGAAAATGAGGATAAAATGAAGCAAAAATGGATGTTTTTGTATGGCACCATAGTGCCACCCTTGGCGCCATAGCGCTAGTAGATGGGTTGAATGGGCACTATAGTGCCCCAAACTGGTGTTATAGAGCCAGTAACCAAATTTCTAGAATATCCATTAAATTTACCCAAATTTTGAAGGGGTGCTTGAAATGACCCTTGGTGATTTTTAATAAGGCCAGATTCTGGACAAAAAGGGATTCCTTTTAGAGTCTTGTTGGAGTCATTTTGGGTTATCTTGGAGATTTCGGTTGAGTCTAGTGTGTGTGTGCATGTGTATGAGTGAGAGTCTTTATTTTATGTAAGTGTTTGGAGATTGACTTCAAGGAAACTTCAAGATTTGCTTGGGGAGAAAAAATAAAGATAAGTATCTTGTATTTGTGTTTAAGTTTTTATCATAAGATGCGAATTTTAATACAAATTATGTTTTTTTTTTCTTTTATCTCCATGAATTCTGAGTAGTTCCCTTTCTTTCCCCTTGCATATGGGAATTAATTTTGTGGGATGAGAATGATTTAAAGATCACTTTTTATTTTTAAGACATTGTGATGATATTTTCACCGATAATTCATTGACTTTGGAAACTGGTTATTTGTATCATTAAAATCTGTTGAGAAACTTAATGACCCGAGAGAGTTATGATTTTACTAAGTAGTGAGTACCACATTTCATCTTGGGTTGAGCCATTGCGATCACTTGAGAGAAGAGAAAATAAATAGGGAGATAAGTTTTGATGGGCGTAGAATTAATGTTTCTAGGGTGACAAACTAGATTTATTTATCAATTTAGTCAAGATTTTATGTCGTAAGAATTCCTACTAGGTCATATAGAGAAGGCACAATGGGTAATTTGGAAGTGAGAGGCCAGAATCTACTTAGCACTATTACGTAAGATGGTGAGAAACTCTAGGTTAGTCAATGTTCTTTGCAAGCACTGAGAGAGGGTAAAACATAGGATTGCTCCTATTTGGCTCAATACAACATTTTATCTTTTTCATCATTCAATCCCTACATTGATTAACATCTCTTTGTAAGGGTAAAGATCTTTTCATAATATTTCAAACTCTCTTTTAAAGTCTCTTTAACTTTTTTGGTTTTTAAACTTTATCAGTCTTCTAATCTTTACTTTTATTTTCCAAATAAATTTAGTATTAAACTTTTACCAATATTTTTAAACTGTTTTCCCATTATAATATCTTCAATTTAGATAGAAGTTTTGCAAGTCAATATTATAGAATTTCAACTTTCCTCATGGGATCGGTATTGGGGTTGTTAAGGAAAATCCTATTTTACTTGAAACGATAAGTATATTTGCGTAGCACACATAGTGTGAAGTTTTATTATTTATTTTCATTTAGTTACACTAGTCATTGAATATAAATTAGGCCTAGTTTTTGGCAATCATTTGAAGTTAAAAAATCTGTGTAGTTGTGGATTGGGTCAATTGCCACCAATCTTCATATACCTTATTAGAAGAAGAAAGGATTATACCATCATCACGTACAAGGGTGGCTTCCGAAGACTAAAGACACGTCAGAAATATGTCCCTTCGATCTTGGATCACTGACTTCATGGGTTCTCCAATAGGACTTGATAGTTCCTTTGCTAGCTTAGTAAGGGTGAAATCTCTTGCATTCATGGAATGAGAGATCATGATCAATGTGACATCAGGAAATTGTTTTAGTAACCTATCACCCTCTTCTGATATGCTAAGAGGTCAGGTTTTAGAACCTTGTACGTTCCCAACACCTGGCTATTGATGAGTTGTGAATCCACATAAACCATAATCATTTTGATGTTCATTTTCATGGCTAATTCCAATAGAAGAATGAAGGCCACATATTTTTTCTTTATTTTTTGAACGTGGCGCTTTTAAGCTATAGGAATAACGAATAATACCACATTTGGGGAACACAAAATAAGACCGATGTGGGCCTTTACCCTTGGGAGGGATCCTGATGGATCTTCTTTTATTGAGGATGTCCCATCAAAATATAACTCCTACTCGACGGAATCAATGAAAAACATGTGCTCATGAAGAAGTCATCATTAAACAACGAGTTAGCTGGGATCGGATGAGCAGCTAGAAAGTTAGCCAAATTTTATCCTTTCACGGTTTGTTAAGGGACATATGATATGTCAAACTGTGACAGGAGCATGACCCTTCCTGATAATCACCCAATTAGAGTGGGGCAATTCATCAGAAATTACAAGGTGTTTACCCTTGAGATCAAATCAGTGTCAGGTGAGTGCATGTAATGCCTCTATGTTTTCTCAATTAGCAGATATTTCATTTCAACTGGGATGAAACACCAACTAATTTAGTACAAAGTGGTCTCTTTCCCATCCTCGTTAACCATCGCTAACATGGCTCCTACTGACTCATTGAGAGCAGCAATATATAAAATATGGGGTTTCCCAACGATAAAGGCAACCAAAACAAGCAGATTTAGCAAGTAGTGCTTGATATCTTTGAAAACGTCTTGACATGCTTTGTCCTTTTGGAAACATACATCCTTTATAGCTAGAGCTGAAAAAGGTTGAAAACATACAGAGATATTTGAAATTAACCACCTAACGAACACAAGATTTCCTTAAGGGGAGTACAATTGCGCTAGGTACTTAGGAGGCTCTATCTCTATGATAGATTTGTTCTTGCTTGGGTCAATCTCAACGCCCCTGTGTTGGACTATGAAGCCAATAATTTTTTTGGAAGACACACTAAATATGCACTTTAACATGCTCATCTTCAGATCAAATTTTCTAAGGTGTTCAATGAAGGTCAACTGATTTGAATGATGATCTTCCTCAGAATGACTTTCACAACTACGTCATCAATGTGAAATTTGACTTCACAATGTTGCAAGTTATCAAAGATCTATATCATAGCTCGCTAGTAGCTTGCTTCAACAATTTTCAGATTTAAAGGCAAGACCTGGTAGTAGAAGATGCTTATAGGCGTATGGAACGTAGTATGTTGTTCTTCCTCTGAGGCCATCTGGATCTAATTGTAACTGGATAAGCCATCTATGATGGAAAACATCACATGTGAAAAGGCGCATCTACCATCAGCTTTGGTATACACAAGTGAAATTTTGTTTTTCGAGCAGAACTTATTTCGTTCCCAAAAATTAATGTAAATCTGTATCTATCCATTATTCTTTTGAATGGGTACAATGTTTGCGAGCCATGTAGGGTAGGAAACGTCCATGAAAAAATTAGCCTCGATGAGTTTTTTGGTTTCTTTGATGACCATTAACTCAATGTTCAAGCCACATTCTCTAAGGTGTTTATTTGACAAGAATAACGCTCGGGCCAACAACTAGATTGCAGAAGATCACTTCCAAAGCTAAATTGGGCATCTTTCGGTCTGATAAAATTTCCTCTTGAAAATTTCTCTTTGGAATTGATTTAATATATATATATATATATATATATATATTGG